TTTTTTTTTTTTTTTTTTTTTTTTTTTTTTTTGGTGATGAAAGTAATCAAAAGCAGCCGTACGTGATATTATTTTCTGATACCGAGTCTCGGCGCAACTCCTCCAATCCATCCTTGTGCGCTCTTGTATATTGCAGTGCGAATTTAATCCAGCAAATAGGATCGAAAGTTAGGCACGACAGCGCGCGGTTAGAGCAAAGATCGAGGGGAGAGAGTCTATCTCGTAAATAAATAGCCGGATATTAGCGGAGTGGTAGTATCGGCGAGGGCAGAAGTAGGTGGTAATTAGCGAAGGAGAATCCAGGTTGGATCGAGAACGCGAGGGGGAGGGGACGAGATGGGACGATCGTTCAGACAGATTACGGTTGGAAAGAGAGAGAGAGAGAGAGAGAGAGTGAGAGAGAGAGAGAAAGCAGGGATGAAAAGACGGGGAAAGGGTGATTCGAGAGGGGTGGGACGATGGTGCTGGTATTTCGATGCTTCGAGGTATGTGTAATCCGAGCATAACGTCTGTTAACAGAGATCGCGCCGCAGCTGGTCTACAGGTTTATCGAACAGACAATGCAGACTGGTCCATCGGTTTCTCTGAAATGCAGCGCCGCGGGTAATCCCACGCCGCAAATTTCCTGGCTGCTGGATGGATTTCCGCTTCCGCAAAACGACAGACTCTTGATTGGCCAGTACGTGACCGTGTACGGGGACGTAATATCGCACGTGAACATCTCGTCGGTGAAGTCGGAAGACGGGGGCGAGTACGAGTGCATCGCGAGTAGCCGCGCTGGCGAGGCCAGCCACTCGGCCAGGCTCAATATTTACGGTGAGTACTCCCCGTACGGAGGTAAGAGCCCGGAGCGAGGAAGAGAACGAGAGAGGGTAAAGACTGTTAAGGAGAAGAATCGCTGGCCGGTGTCGATTGAAATTGACTGGAAACCCCGGGGAATATTACGTTCCCTCTTCCCCTCTTTCTCACTTTAATTCTCTTTCGTTCTCCCGTCTACCTCGAATCGATCGCCAGGAATATCGGCTCGATGGGATCCTTTGTCATTAACCAGCAGCCTGGTTTCTGGAGGGGTGGTTTCTGTTAATTAAAAACCGCCACGTAGCTCTTGTTTTATCAGCGGATTTATGCCGGCTGCGAATCGCGAATTCCGCTTGTCGGACGAAGATGAAAACCTTGTACCTCGTCGCCGCGAAGAATCGCGCAAGATCGCCTTATTCAAGCAAACTTCACGAACTCGCTCCACACAGTGGCTCACCGGCTGCGAGTCGAAGCAAGTTTTCAATTATGTAATAATCTGCGACGCAGGCAAGCTGATACGATGCGGTGTATTTGCATTACACGATGAATAGTTGGCCCAGTGTACAGTGCAACGCTTGTTCGTTTGTTCAATGGCAACCGGCAGGCGCTGCGCAATTGCAGGTTCACCTCTGACCTCTGCTGCTGATGGAATAAAGGGGAGCAGAGTTGGATTCGGGTTACACGCGAAAATGTTATTTTTCTGTGGAGATAGAGAAGCGATCCCGCAGAAAGCGAGAGACTGTGCAGAAAGGTTATTTCATTTCAAATTGTTACAAAGTTAAGATACAGTTATTTGAGTTGGAGGAGTATTTCGGCCAAGCTACGTATGATTATATACTTTTTCGCGTGTCTGACTTATTAATTTTAGTTAAACGGTATGTTGGCTTTATTTTTCTATTTATCGTGCCTCGAAAATACTTTGTATTTGAAAGATATTTTAAATTGCAACTCTCACGTATATACAGAGTTATTTGAGTTAGGAAAGAAAGTATTTTTCAATCAGGCAAACTACGTATTTACACGTGTCTAATTATTCTGTGCAAATAAACTATGCACAAGTAATATGTTTCACTGTGTCGGATATATTAAACGGTGTCTTGATATTTTTCTATTTATCTACTCTGTATTGTGAGATACATGTTAAATTGCAACTCTTGCACACATAAAGTTATTCGACTTTTGTCAAAAAAAAAAAAAAAAAATATTTCAATCGATTATGTATTCACGTATATCGAATGTATATTTTTAACTTTATTTTTCAATTTATCGCCGCTGTATATACTCGCGGATATATACTCTGTATTAACACATTTTGAAATTGCAAGTCTTATACATATTTCGTGACACTCGATGGAAACATGGGGATGCATCGATGTCGCGCCAGAGGGGGAATTGCTCCAAACGAAATATATGTTTGCTTGTCAATCGCAGGTTTGCCATATGTCAGGCCCATGTCGACGGTTTCGGCGGTCGCTGGGAAACAGTTTCACATCAAATGCCCGGTTGCTGGCTACCCCATCGAATCGATCGTTTGGGAGAAAGGTGAGCATTAATACGTCCCTCTATCTTGCCACGCGCGATATCTTTCATTTAAAGATCGTGCCGAGCAATCCTCTTAAGCTAAACTCTTAAGCCAGTCGGCTTGAATTCATTTGGAATTTCGATCGATCGCGATTGGCCAGGCAAGTCGTTGACCACGGTCACGTTGTTGTAACAGACGGAGTAAGGTTGCCCACGAACATGAGACAGAGGGTTGCGAACGGAAGCTTGTTCATCGATACGGTGCAACGAGCCGCCGATCAAGGCACGTACACGTGCACCGCCAGGAACAAGCATAACTTCACCTCTCAACGATCAGTCGAAGTGCGCGTTCTAGGTGAGTGAACTGAAAGCAAATATTTTCCGATACCGGTCTCTTTTGCAGGCTTTCACGATTGCCAGGACGATTTAATTTGCAACGATACTCTAAGCTCTACTGGTCACGTGCGGTACGCCCATTCATTTTCATTCCTACACCTACGGCTCTGCAGGAATTTTGCGGAATTTTGATGGAGTTAAATACCGTCTGTGACTTTTAACACTTTATCTGTCTTGCCGTTATCCTCCTTTCAGTTTGCCCCGTTTCTATCATTATCTTCATTTACAATTGTAAATCCACCACAAAGCGTCCACAAATATTTGGACGTCTGGTGTAATTCGATCGAATAACTTTTTTTCTTTTTTTATAATAGAAAAAACGTTTCTCTGCTCCGTTAATTTTTCATCCCTTATCGTAACTGGAATTTAAAGCGAGGTAACGAATGATTTACTCCTGCTGCCCGGGCCGCTCTAACTTCATTTAAAAACAGAAACTTTTAGAAAAATTTGCCTTCGGAATACGTGATTCAATCATTCTGAAATTCCGATACTGAACAGACACACACACACACACACACACACACACACACACACAGTTTAATTCGTGCGTGTCCGCGGCATCAGTTTTCACTCAACGCCATCAATTATCGCTCGAAATGTATTCCAAATGTAGTTGCAATGTGTTCCGACGTGCCCGAACATCGGGATTCGAAAAGATAGAACTCGTCAAGTTCCATCTCTGAAACGAACAGTCGGGATATTAACAAAGGGATGGATATTAAGCAAACGATTTCCACGCAACGGGTACCGTATGTGACCATTCGAGATGTCAAAGAACGATTATCAATGGATAGTCGCAGCACACCTGAAGTTACATCATCCCTTTGTTTGATATATTCTCTCCTCTCACACGGTCTCCGCCCTCCAGTCATCCCGTGCGCAATTTTCCGTCCCGACGGCAATCGCATATTAATTACAATTCGTGTATATGCATAACAGCCCGGCGTGTTTGATGCGTGCCGCCAAATTTACCTTCACACAAAATGTTTCTGTATCAGGTTTACGGAGCAAATTCCGTGTACTCCATTGTTCGTCGCTGGCCGGGATTAGTTAACGCGAGGCAAGCGTTGCTTCGAAATTTCCCCGGGTTTGTCGTAAGCGTGCGCGTGTACTTCCGGTGTACAACGAACGCGTGTGGTAAGAGCCAACCGTGCAACCGGCTTTATCTTTCGAAACGATGTATCGATATTCTATCCGGGTGTCTCAGTTGTCGCGCCGCGATACCGCGATGTTTTCGCGAAATTTCGGCGATACGTTTTCTTTTCGTTCCCTTCCGCGTCTTCTTGTGCTCTCGATCTCTGCACCCTTTGTCGTCTCGATCTCGCGGACAACACTTAAACGAAAGCAGATCGCGCCTCGAGATAAATTCGACTCGGGGGTAAACACTCGAAGCTCGACGCTGAGAGGGAGAAGCAGAGTCTCTCTCTCTCTCTCTCTTTCTGTATCCTACGACGGAAGTTGGAAAAATTCGCGAAACTCGTCGTAAACTTGCCTCAAAGGATCTCGGTCGGGGGCTCTGGCTGGCGTTTCCGGTGGAGCGTTAAGGAGCATCGTTCGCACGACTCCCTAATCGCGCGGCTCGGGCTCGTATCGCGCCCTTTCAGACCCGTCCGCCATTTTGTATACTTTGAGAAAGTACTTAAGAGCGATCCTCCGAGAGGCGAATCGGTAATCGTTTCCCCCTCGCGTTCTCTCGCGAGCTCTCTCTGCCCGTGAAGTCTCTCTAGGAAGGACCTCTGCCGGGGTCGAAGGGCAGGGGGGGAAGAAAAACGAAGAAGCAAAGACGCGGAACGGGAATCGAACTCGATTAAACGGGAAAGCGATTCCGCCGAAGTGCTACGGAAAACCGGGAACCGGGATCGATAGTTACTCGCGGCGTCCAAGTTAATTAAGCCTGCTAGCTGGCCGATTTTCTAGTCGCCGAGGCTACGGTTATTTGCCCTTGGTGGTTCCGCTATTTACACGCGATAGAACGCGATCGCGTTTGAACCGATTAACAAACGCGGGGCCAGTGAATTCGTACGTCTTACGTTCCACCGCACCGCTACCAGTTATATGACCACGTTGGCTACAGCAAAGGAGACAATCAAAGGGAACTCTCTCTCTCTCTCTCTCTATCTCTCTATCTCTCTCTTTGTCTCTCTCTTTGCACACGATACGACACGTTGACCGTGTGCGTGTGCTTGCGCGTAGGATGCTTCTGTGAAACGCAATTCGTCTGACAGCACAGGGGAACTAGTCGACGGTGCACATTCAGCGAACTCACCGGGACGCACAGACGATCGGGGAAAGTTTTCTCGACCAGGAGATCTCTTAAGATAGCCCCTTGTCGTACGACGATCGTACGACAGAGGTTACGCGGTGCAATTGTGTGTATATACATATACGTGTGTGGCTAGGGCGTGTATGCGTCCATCTTTATGCCTCTGTCTCTGTCTCTCTCTCTCTTTTTCTCTCTTTCTCTCTAACCGTATGTACCTACAATAACTCGCGAAAGTGTGTTCCGAACACTCGTAGGAATTTTTCACGAACGTATCGCGCGATACATTCTCGGAATTCCATCGATATCCCAACGATGTTATCACCGTGTTAAAATACGCCCCTTCTGTCCATCGAACCAAACCATACGCATTTCCGAGTAATCATATTTGCTGGATTTTCGCAAGCTTCCGTGTTTACACGCGCGAAATACGTTCCAACACCTTTCGTGAGTCACTGTACCTTCTTTCTCTGTCTCTATCTCTATCTCTTTATCTATTCTTCTCTATGTGCGTCAACGGATATCCGTGCGTTTGACAACACTCCGCGAACGAACCCACGCACCAAGAGCACAGCACTTCACTGCATCGCTCAAGCATCTGTCCTTGCACGCGCTCGCCTAACTGCTCTGTATATTATATTACGTACGTGTACTTTTGTACATAAAAATTCATAGCGCGCCGATGCCACGTACCATCGGGAACGGGTACGGCGGCCGGCTCTACGTGCGTGTACGTGAGCGTTCTGCCGATACACGGGGCGCTTCCTCCCCCGCGGAGGCAGCGAGGCGCGATCATCTCTGCCTCGCCTCCGTTTAATCGTGTCGTGCATCAACCTCCCGGGAGAACAGCGTGCCAGCTGTAAGGAGTTCACCTCCCACCGATGAACGTTCGTTCGTTCGTTTCGTTTGCCACCGAGATAACGCTGCCAGGCGAAAAATATCGCTGACCGGCTTAATATCGACTCCGCGTCGCCCGGTTGTATCGCCGATACTCGCGTTTTACGCTCCGTGTTACGCTAGCTCTCGTGACTTATGAAACATTCGTCCTTATCTATCGATTTCCGAATATAAAACCAAGTGTGTGCGTTCCCGTATAAACTTTGCTCGCTCGAATATATTCTGGCTGTATCGGCGGAAACCTCGCGTTTAGCTCGCGGTTGAGCATCTTTGACATTTGAAGAAAAGAAGTTGGATTCTTCTTTTTTTTTTCTTTTTTTTAGGAAGAATTTTATTATAACATGGGAATTGTTTAGAGTTACAATTTGCCATGGTATTCGGAGGCATTAGCATTTGACTCGTTTTCAAACGCGTTCCATTGTCCCGTGATTTTCGAGGCCAACGTTCCGCCGAACCCGGGACGAACCGCAACGATCTCGTTTGCAAAATCTCGACGTCATCGCGGCGTAAAACCGCGGCGAGTGGCGCAATTTCAACCACCAGCGCTCCGTGTATTCGAGAACGTGTGCACGTGCTACTTGTACATAAATATGCTGTTGTCGAAGCATCGATATTCTATTAACGTGACTCTGTCGCCGTTTCTTTCGCGCGATGTGCACTTCACCAAGCAAGCACGCCACCGAAAGCGAAACGCGGCCGTACGCACGTACGTGTACGTGTGTGTAACGAGTTGAATTTCACCGGCAATTTTCACAACCGAGGCCGAACAGGTGAACGTAACAATGAAGCTCGCTCGGCTCGGCCCGGCCCGGCCTGTAAGAGCCGAGAGAAACGCTGCTGCTTACAAACGTTGGGCGGCGAGTTACGCCTCGATTCGAAAGCAATCAACCGGAGTGCCCTGTAATCGATCGATTGTATTCCGTTTTGTGAAAATTTCGCGCGTTTTCAACGCCAACGGCGAAAGTAGCGTTTATCGGCGCGACGGCGATCGTGTACTCGGTTGCTCACGAGCCGCGAATTAATTGCGAAACCTTGTCGGCGGAGATATTCGATGCGAAACCAGCGGCGGGAGGAGGGGCGATCTTTGCGAACGGAAAAGAGAGAAAAAAAAGCGAGGATCGTTCGATCGGGTGTGGGGAGAGCGAGTTCATTAATAGGATCCACGCCGCGGCGAGGGTGAATTTTTCGCGAATTTCTCGTGCCACTTGTAACCGGGAGGGTGCGTCGAACGAACGAACGAGCGAGCGAGTGGGGATGGAAAAGTGAAAACCGATCGGCGAAAAATTTTACGGCGCGCCAGCCACGATTAAATATCAATTACCGCGCTTGTTTCTGCTAACGCCGGTTTATTCGTCGAACTGTTTCGAAGGGAAGGAACGCGTTACAATTAACCGTGGCCGCTGTAAAAGGGGCAAAAAGAAAAAAAAAAAGAAAAAGAAGAAAAGGGCAGGGAAGAACGTAAAAATCGTTCGTGTATACACAGACGGCAAGAGATACAATCAAGCTCGTGCATAGGCCGTTTAACGGCGTTTAATTCCTTGATCGCGCGATTTCCACGGATTAACTGACACGATTTAACGAAAACAACGTATTTAAAGAGCGAGCAGAACGTACCGTACATCTCTGTTCGGCGTGTTTCACATTTCTGTTGCACAGGTACTCGCGAAAGTATCGAAACACTTGTATTACAAACGTATATTGAAACATTTCGAAATTTTATTAGCAATGAAATATATTTGATTATCGTGATAATATCAAAGTTGGAAAAACAAACAGCGTTCCGTTGCAAGTGAAACACAACGCGGTTATACGAAAAAATTCAAATACGAGCCACTGTGCACGCGGTACATTTTTCGACAATTTTTTTTTTTTTTTTT